AGCCCAGGCAGGAGAGGCTTAGGGTGTGGAATCACCATGCATTCCCATCCTGGAAACTTTCCTTAACTCATCTGGGAGGGGGAGAGGGATGAGAAATTATGGGTCTAAAAAGTGGGGTGGGGGAGAGAAATTATGGGCCAAGATAAGGCCAGAAAAATTCACCCTGTGTGGTCCAGGGTGGAGTAACACGGAAAATATGGAATTTTTCCATATTTCCATATGCAACAAAGTGAGTTGTTGGACGTTTCTGATTTTTCCTTAGGGCCCACTCTCCTACCCTGTCATCCACAGCGAGAGAGATTTCCACTCAGTGCTTCCACTCACCCAACGAACGTGCCCAGCACACGCCAGRCACTGATCTAAACCTTGAAGATACAGCAGTGAAAAAATGATAGAAAAGGTCCCGCCTTCTGGGAGCTGTGGTCTAGTGAGGGAGACAGACAGTAAACAAATTTATAAAGGCCACAGAACTAATGCAGGATGGAAGGACAGGAGTGGGTGGGGCTTTTCACACAGATCTAGGTCCCCAGGGAAGTCAACTTCAGACACGGACAAGTGTCTCAGATTCAAACAGAGGACACCCTGATGTCACAACAATAGCAATGCTAATGGTAATTTCCAATTATTTCATTTATGATTCTTGGARCAAAATAAATGGCTGGCGGCCATCGAGGGAAATTTCTGTCTCTATTTTTCCATCCTGACAAATCTAACAAACCTGCCATCGGACCCATGAGTGATTCCGCCTACAAGCAGGGTTCAGGGGGCAGCCAGCCCAGCCTCCTCATCCCGACTGCTAAAGATGGTTGGAGAGTAGAAGAAAGAATCTTTCCTCATTTGCCTGCCGGGGTATCTACTTGAGCAAAATCAGAATTTCAACCAYACCCAGGCCTAGGATTTCAGATTTAATGGGTAGAAAGCAAATTATCCCTCCTTTCTGGTATCCCAGTTTCCTAGAAGAAATGGCTACTCTTGAGGATGTGGTTGAAATTTGTCTTAGAAAGGCACAGGATTCTAAAACCAGATTATTGGGTTAGGATTCCAGCTTTTCCATTTACCAACTGTGTGGCCAGGGAATATAATTTAATCTTTCTGGACTTCTGTTTTCTCCTTTGAAAAATGGGGACCCTAACATCTATTTACTGTTGTTGGCGGGTTAAGCGAGTTAATATTGTTGAGTGCTTTGAACAAACAGTGTCTACATGTAAGTGCTATGTCTACCTCAGCATGAGCTCTTAAGCCCACAGGATAGGCCTGCTCCCCTGTAGCACCACAGCAGCCAACMTCAATCCTTGCAGTATGTCCCCTCAAAGTTCATAGGTTGAAGCTCTAACCCCAAGGTGGTCATATCTGAACATGGGCCTTTGGAAGGTAGTTAACTTCAATGAAGTCATGTGGGTGGGGAGCCTCATGATGAATTAATACCTTTCTAAGAAGAGACATTAGAAAACTTGCTCTTGTCTCCCTCCCTCCCTCCCTCCCTCCCTCTTTCTTTGCCACCGTGAGGACACAGCAAGAAGGCAGCCATCTGCAAATCAGCAATAGAACCCTCACCCGAACCCAACCCTGTCGATGCCCTCATTTCATACTTCCAGCCTCTAAACCAGTGAGAAAATAACTTTCTGTGGTTTAAGTCACGTATGACGAGATGTTGAGTCGTAAGATCTGAACCCAGGGCCTCATGCATGTTAGGCTACTTACCACACAGACAGTTAGTAGAAAAACTACACTGAGCTACAACCCCAGCCTCAGTCGAAGGAATTTTATTATGGTGACCTGAGCTGCCCCCAGACAGCCTACCTTAAGCCTACTGCAGAATTAATGTCTTGTTATAAATTTGCCCATTTCTGAGCACAGAGATTTTTGCATTAAGTCCACAAATTTAGAAGGAAATCTCACTCCATCGAACATCAACTGCATCCTTGCCGTCTGTCTAACTCTCTGAGATGATGTTTCCCTAGTRTATGAGAAAGTAGCCAAGCCCACACATGCAGGAAAGTGAGAGAGGAAAATGAAATTACCTGTGTGAAGCGACCAGCTCACTCCCTGGAGCAGAGAAGCCTAATCCATCCCATTACCTTAACCCCCCAAGCAAGAAGAGTAATTTTACACTTGAGTGTCAGTCGCCAATGGATTGACGTCTACCCTCCACAGGGATCACAACCTCAGCTCCCTGGGCAAACTTTTCAGGACAGGTGGCTTCCTGGAGAAGTGGCACCTCCTGCCTTCAGAGCCACCCTGGATTTCAGGGTACCTGGGAGTCTTTCGAGTGTGATCTGGTGGCTTTCTGTTTTCCTGACCTCTCTTCCCTTCTCCCAAGCTGATTCTTGAAATGCCACCTACTCTGTCTCGGTCCTTTTCTGCCAGGAATTACACCCAGTGTTTCACGTCCTGAAGCTGTTCTAAGACGGAGATGCAGCTCCTTCTTTTCTGGGAAGACATCAGTCCCCTACCTGGGAGGACCCCTGCTTCATCTCAGGACTTGCCTCAAGGGAGTTGCAGAGAAAACTGAGCAGCAGCTGGGCCATTAGCTTAGCCACCCTTTCCAGCAGCCTGTGTCTAAACTGTTCAGGTTCACGGCTCTGCCTGTCAGAGCTGACTGCTTATGGAGCATGGTTGACAGTGYAGGAACTCCACAGCGTGGCCTCGGGAGAACATTGACGTTGCTGTCGTCTCTCTGACAGCAGAGGTTCAAATCTGGGCTGCCATGTCTAAACCCTGTGACTATGCACACGACCAGACCTCTCTGAGCTCCACCTTCCCTGTCGGTAGAATGCAGATGGTCATGTCTTTATTTTCTAGGACTCTTAGTACAATCAACAGAGAGGATGGATGAGAAATTCACTCATTCAGCAAGCATTGATGGAATGGCTGAGTTACGCCAGCACTGTTTCCAGCATCTGGGATACTTTAGTGGTCAGAACATGGATCTGCTGTCCTGAGGCTAAGGCCAGAGGAGGGGAGAGGACAGCAAAGAAACTACATGATAGTTGGTGATGAGSGTGTCGGGGGAGACTCAAGAGGGACTGGAGGAGGGAGTGCTGCGGTGAAGGGCTCCMTGTTATGAAGGATGGTGGGGGAAGGACTCCTTGAGAAGACCAGAGCCCTGGAACAAATGGGGAGCGAGCACGAGGATATCAAGGAAGAGCATTGCGCAAGGCCTGAGCGGGGAGTGTTCCTGGAAAATCTGAGGAAGAAACAGAGGGTCAGGGTGGCCAGAGTGAAGAAGACGGGAGAGTATTGGGAGATGAGCTCAAAATAACAGGAAGGATAGATCACGGAGGGCCTGGGGAGTCTTTGGRATATGTTGGCTGTCATCCTGAAAGAGACGGGAAGCCAGAGGAGGATTTTGAACAGAAGAGTAATGTGATCTGATTTAAGTTCTCCTCCTGATGCTGTAGACAGAATTAGACTGGAGAGCAGTGACTGAAGTGGAAGAGCAGTTAGAATGTTATGGCAAGAATCCAGGCTAGTGGCCTGGCCCTGGTGGTGACCACAGAAGTAGTAATAGAGTTTGTCCATATTTTGAAGGTAAAGCTTTTAAAACTTTTAGGTAGAGTACATGGAGGGTGAAGTAAAAAAAAGAGTCAAGCATGATGTCTGGATTTTTKACCTGAGAAACTAGGAGAGGAAGCTTCACGTGTCGCAGGAGGATGCTCTAAGCAAGAAACTGTTTCAGGTGAAAATCAAGAGTTTGGTTTCAGGGGTAAGTTTTTGGGCTTTTGAGTTAAGTTTGAGATGCCAATTGGAACTGTGAAGTGCATGGTTTAAGTACTTGGGTAGATGGATCTTGAGGTCAGACTGAAGGTCTAGCTATAGGCTGAGTTTGGGAGTCCTCAGTACCTGGAAGTCACAAGTGCATTTAAAGCCATGAGACTGGGTGAGATGATGGAGAGTCTGGGCACAGAGTGTCTGAGAACAGAGCYCCAGGAAGGAGTCTCCAGAATGGACAAGTTGGAAATATGATGAGGCTTAAAAAGGAGTGTCCGATAAAAAGCCAAGAGTTGTGCCCCAGAAGTTAAGGACAGTATTTCAAGAAAGTGGGATCATTTGAGTCAAGAGCTGGAGGAAGATCAAGTAAAATGGAAGCCGAGCGTCGCCCGGCCTCAGCATTATGGAGGTCATTGGAGGTCACTGGTGACCTTTATAAGAGTAACTCAGTGGAGTGAGCCAAGCCTGARAGCGGAGGGTTTGAGAGAAATGGAAGAAGTGAGGAGAGCCAGTAGAGAGAACTCCTTTTGAGGAGTTTTACTGGAAAGGAAAGCGAGGAAATCTAGTTTTCCAGTAGCTTCTCGATGGATGGACGGTTTATTGAAAGCCTAGGGAGGCACTGAGCCCGGGGTGGGAGAGGAGCTGAAGCCCAGGAGAAACCACATCCTTAGAGCAGAGTGTTGACTGAGAACATGGCTTGGCCCATTGTGGCTTCTTGGGCACACAAGACGACATGAACTAGACCTGGAGGATCCCAAAGCAAGGCTCTTCTGCCTAGGGGACAAGGCTGGGCTCTGGATCTGCTCACCRTACTTAGGCGTTTCCTGCATGTAATTGTGAAGCTGGGAATCCCTCAGGCCTGCAGTACGAAGCAGAGGGCTGCCTTATGCCTTTGGTTCTGTCCACCTCGAGGACACCGATCKGATGTGCAATGAATCATTTACTGAAAGGAGAGGTATAGGTGACACTTAGGTGACAGAGCTACAACGCTGCCAGTGAGGTCAGGCTACTCTTTGAGATCAKCGCACAGAGGATCAGAGAACAGACACACAAAATCAGCTCCAAGAGGCAAAGATGGCTTCCGGCCAGCTTTACCTCACTGTATTACTTTCCACTGACCCGATTGGTTTGTTAACATTCTGATGGAAAGAGATTGTCTGGAGATTGATGGAAAGGATGGAAAAAGAAGTCGGATAAAGATGAGTCAGAAAGTTAACGTTGGTGAGGCCCACTCCTGATTTGAGGAAATACGCTCAGAATAAAGAGGATCAGTGGTGATTTAGACTCACCCCTCACGGTGACGTTCACCACCYGGCTCTGCACGGGGCCGTAGCTGTTGTCGGCTGTGCAGTAGAATCCCCCGCCGTGGCTCCCCCGGACAACTAGGATCTCCAGCTCTGCTCTCTGGGAACGCTGCGTCTTCCTCCCCAGACTCTCYGTCGTGTCCTCTCTGTGCCAGGAGAATGTGGTGACCCCTGTGCCTTCAGCCACGGAGCAGACAAGGACCAGCATCTCCCCCTCAATTGCCTGGCCTCCTGGGGGCTGGGTCTCCAAGGAGACCTGAGACACAGGGACCCCTGCGGGAACAGGAGCAGAAGCTGAGGGCCAGGTGTGGGGAAGGCAGGACTGGTTTCAGACAGAGTCACTTTTCACGTGACTTAAGGTGTCCTCYGTTAGCGGATACTAGTGCTGTGATCAATGGACTATGGATTTGGAATCTAGAACATCACTAAATGTGCTAACCCTTCCGGCCTAACACACAAAGCCCCAGGAGAGAAAAATCGACCATTCCTGGAGAAGCATTTGAGCTCTGTCTGACCTAGCTGGTGGTCTGAATTGTTTCTAGAGATAGGTAATAGAAATAGTGGTTGTTATGGGACTCAGCTGGACCACACCCGATACCTGAAGTCCTGCGATGGTACCTAAGACAAGATGATATTTTTCTTTTTGGGCTGATTGACAATTTTTATTTAATATCAGGGGAAAAAATAGGCCACCAGTGTAAGGGACATACAAGTTTTTGGTCCCTTAAGAAGAAAATTTCTTTGAGAAGGCAATGTTTAACGAAATTGGCCCTCTCATTTCTGGGTACAGTGGCACATGCCTGTCATCCCAGAAACTCAGGAGGCTGAGGCAGGAGGAGTGCAAGTTCTAGCCAGCCTGGGAAACTTCGCAAGACCCTGCCTTAGAAACAAACAAAAGAACAACAACAACAAAAATCCTGGCCCTTTTTTTCATTCTGGCTTACTAACTCTTCTAAAGAAATACAAGTCCAATTCCAATCACCTGTAAACATAGACAAGATGGTATTTAGTGTATTTCCCTTTGTATGCGTATGTCTCCCTCACCTCTGCCGCACACCTCACAGACAGTATATCGTTTTGGCTATTGATTAGGAAGAGGTGGGTATTTGTCTTCTAAATAGTTTGCCCTGGGTTCTGGCATGCTGGATCTGCCAACTCAATAACAGGGAACCTCGTTTTCTTGTTTTTTAACGCCAGATCTTGAATCTAACTCCATGCATCAGCTCTATCACTCCAACATGAAAGAGTTTGAAAGGAAGACTAAGTTGTTAGGGAAATGAAGGTAGAAATGAAATCCCCTATTTCTTTTATTATATAGTTCCTCGATTCTTACTTTAAGCCTGATGCCCCTATCAGAATGACAAAACGAATCTCTTTTGGATAGTCCCTATACCCACGGGCCAGAAGGAGCCCAGAGACTCAGTGGGAAAGTTGCCTCAGTCCCACCCAGCCCCCTGGCCCTGCCTACTTACTCTGTACCAGGATCTCCTGGGGGGAGCTGAACTTCTGGATGCTGCTGGTCACAGTTGCAGCCCCACATCTATACCTTCCCGAGTCTTCTCTCCAGATGGTGGGGATCTGGAGCCCTGAGAAGTTGCTCCAACTTGACAGGACGATTCTGTCATCTCTGAAGAAGATGAAATGAAGAGGGGTGTCCAGTCTCTCTGGAGGAAGATGCGTTTCACAGCTCAGGTTTATAGAGTTCCCTTCTGTGGGCTGAAGGGTTGTGACTTTCAGGTTCGGACGTGGAAATAATTCTAGAGAGAAAAGGAAAATCAAGTTCTGAGCAGGAGGGTATTTAGCACTCTGGGAGGAACAGGCTTGGATTCTCTGTCCCCGGAAACTTCAGACATACAAGATTAAATGTATCAAGCTCTGGATTATGTTTTTCTTTCCTAGGACAATTCAAGTCCAATCACTCCACTTTCTCTGCCTCCGGGAGGGACTCATAAGTCTCCAGTATTCAGGGTTCCAATATTCACCTATAAATCCCTCCTGCCCAGTTTCTCCACCCTGACATTACTAAATGAATCTATAGGAAATGAAGGATTTACCTTTAATTCCAATATATTCGATAGTTGACTTATCTGCCAATTTTTGGTTCCTAAATCCAATGCATTGATAAAAGCCACTGTTATTTAAACCTGCTCTTGGGATAAAAAGATCCAAGCTTTTGTTAGAAACGAGAAGGACTTTTCCATTCCAAGTGTATTTCACAGAGGTCAGCTTCTCTTTTCCCCTTTGTTGGCATCTCAGAACCAATATGTCTCCTTCAAACACAGAATAAGGAGCCTGTAGGATTAAGGAGCCTGGAAACAACACAGAGATAAGATAAGACACTACCTCCTTTCTCCATGTCCCTTCAATTACAAAGGCTTTATTGGGTTTTTTTTTTTGTTGTTGTTGTTGTTGTTTTCTGTCCCCATCAGAATTTAATCTCCTGACCAAAGTCTATTCATTTCCTCCCAACTCAGTGAGGCATACTTCAGATACAACTCCTAAACAAATTCTAAACACATGTATTCAATCATGTAAGGACAGATTCAAAATGTAAAGACTTTAATATGGAGAAGAAAAGCCAAAGAAGGTGTGATCAAAATCTCTGACGTCATATAATAGAGCAAAAATCAACACCAGTCTGCTCACTGAATCTCCAAGCAGGTGCTATCAAAGAGGAAGCCTTTGGAGAAATATGCAAGGAATCATGGCAGTGCATTGGGGGATGCTAGAGAGAAGAACTATTTTCAGAGACACAAGTTTAGGTTCGATTGAATGTGAATGTGGTCCCCTGTGGAAATTTTCCTGCTGTGCAGGCTGTGACTTGAGGTTAGCTGTATCAATTCCGTCTTAGATCCTGAGTACCTCCTCCTACAGAGCCACATCTGTGAAGGGGATCCAGAACATTATGTCTAAAAGAGGTAAAACTGCACGGGAAGGGATATGGGCATTTTGCAAATTAGAGATGAAAAATAGAAAGGAAGAAGGGACAGATACCAGGACAGGCAGGGATGAAAGGCCAGAGGTTTGAAATCTCTGACTTTCTCCTTCATGCTCAGCATGTCCGTGTGTGTGATTTCTCCCTGTGAGGCTGTGAAGTTCCACAGGTAGCATCTCAGACAGCTTCCTCTTTGTATTGACTAAACAAACGAATTTCCTSGACAATGTAAATGTGTGAGAATGTATGCTGATTAATATGAACCATTTCAACTCGAATTTCAAGTGAAAAACATTTGCAGACAACGAGGAAGAGTGTAAAACTGAAAGCAGCTGAGGCTGAGGGACAGAGAGGAAGGAAGGACCCCAGTGCTTAAAAACTGCAGAGAGCTACGATCTTAACCAATTCACCTTCTCTCTCACCTGTAGAAAAGGTCAAGGATACAGGGTCACTTAGAAGTGAGCCCTGGACCTTGCATCTGTAAGTTCCCGATTCATGGACTTGCAGGGTATCTCCTGTTATGTGTCCATATTTCCCGTACCATTCTGTTTTCTCTGGTGCATGGAAATGAAATCTATTGCAAGTCAGATTCACTGTCTCTCCTTGAAAGACTGTGGTCCATGGAGGTTGGAGGGAAATCACAGGTCTGGGTGCAGCTGCTGAGAAGAAGAGAAATGAGTTTGAGGTGGTGGTCCCTGCAATCCCTGCCACGGAGGTTCCTGTGGGGACGACAGGAGGACCTGGATTTGAAGAATCCCCTGGGTCCTGGGGAGAGCTACTGCTTCCCCAAATTGCAGGTTCTCCAGTTGGGCTCACCTTACTGCCAGGTGCCGTGGCTGCTCCGGGGTTTCCAGGAGCAGACTGACCTTTCAGAGGGCAACCCCAGCGGGATCCATTCATGATTGATCAATGATGGGAGGTTTACAAATCCTCTTGCCTTCTCAGGTGAAGCAGATCCTCAGGGACATAATTGAGCATTGCATTTCTCCAGCATGTATTCCTTCCTCCAGGGAACTGCATGTTACAGCTCCTCTCTAAGATGAGTGTGTGTGTGTGTGTGAGTGAAGAGTACCAGCACATGCCATCCCCAAATATGTTTCTTTCATATATGAATTATTTTGAACCAAAAGACCATTGGGAACTACCAGAAAAAAAAGGAAAAATCTAAAAATAGGGCATATATTTTCTTTTCCTAAAGAAAATTTGCTTTGATAAAGGCATCTCCTTCTGTCGGACCTTCTTAGTAGAGAAGATATTGGCTTAGATCTGCACAACAAAGCATACTAAACAACCCTTGTTACCATGCTTTTCCTTGTCACCGCCCCATAACTCGCTTCTCGCTCTCCAGAATCCTCAAACCCCTCAACGTTGTTCAGCCTAAGATGATATGTAAACCTCGATTATCTGCCTTCCTCCTTGAGCCACATTTGACTTTGTGATCTCCCATGTGTACATGTGTAATTAAAGCTTACTTTTTCTCCTGTTCATCTTTTACCAGTTTGATTCATCAGCCCCAGCTAGTGAGCCTAAGATGAGACAAAGCAAAAATAATTGTTTTTCCCTCCCTTACATGCGGCATGAGCCTATATCGGGACTGGACTTAAAGATGGAAGAAATACAGAAATTTGGAGATTAATTATGCTGGTATTTAAAAAGTCCAAATCGTATTTTTACTCATATTCTAACAAGGACTTAACTCTTCACTTCTGCCTGCAAATGTTTGATGGGTGGCTAAGAGCAAGATTAAAGACTTGGCATTCCCACCTCCATTTCACACCTATTCCCTTTGCTCCAAGTCACCTTTGATTTCCGGAATGGGATCTGATTCAGTAAACATCTTGTGATGAGTTGAAACTACCTGCCAGGCAACAGTAATTTTTTTTTTTTTTAAACCTGACATGGTCAGACCTGACCAATCTTGAAATAATGAGATAATATGGAGACAGACCTCTCCTGATCAGGATCACCTGCTTTGGTATCTTTGCAAACTTTCTAGTTATGCAGACCCCCACCCATGCCTTTGTTCTTTTCTTCTTCTTCTTCTTTTTTAAAGAGAGGGGAACTAGGTGCCTTTACTTTAGGCGGTGCTGAGGATCGAACCCAGTGCCTCCCAGGTACTAGGTAAATGCTCTGCCACTGAGCTACAGCCCCAGCCTCTCATTCTCCTCTTTAAAAACCTCAAAGTCATTGTCAGTCTCTTGAAGATGGGGCTAAAGGGATGGACCACTTCTCTTCCCAGCAGAGCTACACTGATTAAAATTCCTTTCATGCTTTCTATCATTTCCTTTTCTATTTGTTTTTAGGGTGAGTGGTTGGACCTCATTTTGGGGGGTCTCCCAAGTCAGGCCTCTGGCCTAGGACTCAAGTAATAATATCAATGAGAAGCAGGTGTGGGAGAGGGGAGCAGGCTGCTGTCTGAGGTGTGAAGTATGTCTAGACAGCTACAAAGGGTAAGACTGCAGGGAGACAGGTGCTCCCAACACTCTAAACCTCAAAGACACTCTCAGGGCGAGAAAATATTGACCTTGCATGAAACTGGACCCTGAGATCTTTGAAACATGGGTGGACAGAGCTGGAGAATCCAGGGCAATAACAAGTTTAAAAAAAAAAAAAAAACATTAGCATTAGCTCCCTGTGGAAAATAAGGGAAGAGATTTCTGTTTTCTTTCAGAATTTCTTTTTCTGTCCCGTTTAAATGTTTGTAAATTTTATAATGGCTAAACAAGAGTCTGGCCAGTCTCCAAACCCAGGAAAGTCCTGGGTGCCATGTGTTATCCTTAAAAAAAAAAGGTGGGGGACAGTAAAACATCATCCCCAGATGCCCCCTTCTTTTTCCAAAAGCTCAGCCAAGTCAAGGGAGCACACTGGAAACCAGGGAAATTTAGTGCCATCTGTCAGAAGCTCCTTTCTTCCGTATAGGCTGGGAAAGTTGCTCCTTGATATGCTGCTCATACAAGCAAACTAAAGCCGCTGATGTCACTGCTGCTGCAAACTGATGTATAAAACCTCCCTCTGCGTAGGGACAGCTGTGGAACTGAGAGCCCCGTGGAAGGAATACAGATCACTCCCGAGCCAGRCACCACTGGACAAAACAGCAAGAGGGAGGGACGAAGGAGGGGCTTGCTTGAGGGAGGGGCTGCCACCACTGAACTCTTCTTGGAGCAGTCACTTATCCCCCGCAACCCCTGATACTGGTGATTAAACTCAGGGTGATTTACCACTGAATTAATCCACAGCCCTTTTCATTTTTTACTTTGAGATGGGATCTCACTACTTGTGGAGGCCGGCCTCAAACTTGCAATGCTGCTGCCTCAGCCTCCTGAACTGTCACTGATCCTATGTCTCACATGCCATCTCTGGACATCTTCTTTGGCCTTTTCACAACCTGCCCCACTGCCCTGACACAACGGGGTCATGAACTTGACATGCTATCTTTTTGGTTTGGGGGAGATGGGCATATGGAAAGACGCTCCTCTGTCTCCTGGTTCCTGTAGGAGGCTGAGTCTAACTTTGCTGGGCTCCCCCGACTCCAACATGCAAAACTACCTGTTGTTATAAAAATGTTTTCTCCTATGATAAAAGCCAATCCGCTAACACAGGTGGTCCTCCCAATTATCATAGTTAAGATAAACTACGTGTCAGGTTATTTTATTGGAAGACCAATTATTATTTATGTTGAAAACACGTATATTTGGATTATCTGCTTGACTAAATAGAGGAATGGAACTCCTTTCTGTCTTTGCTCTTTTAGTGGTTTTCCTATGAGGTGCATTCCGTTCTGGCTTAACACTTATTCAATAATAAAGTGTTTTCCTTTATCTATTACCATTTATAGAGAAGATTTCTGGGTTGGGAGGAGATTTCATTTTTAATGCTAATTCCCTGACAAGAAATTATTACTGAGGCTTCCTGGTTTTTTTTTTTTTAACCTGAATGTTTATTTTCTGAGTCCTGTAGTTTTGAGGTGGTGAAGCTAACAACAAAATTACCCATTATTAGAAACATCCTTCCGGATGCAATGCTCTTCTCTGGCTTGCTTAAAGATGAGTGGCTTGGTCAGCTAATCTTTCGATGGGTATAAAGTGAAAAATGGATCGCTATTGCAGATTCTGCCTAAGWTGCAGTATTTCATGAAGTTGGAAAAGTTATGTGGAACCGCTGTTCTGATGGCTGGCAACAAACACAGAGGTGAAAAGCAGATCTGTTGACAATGAAAAAGCAGAAATGCATCACAAGGAAAGCAGTGGTCTGGTTCCTGGAGGTGGGTCCCGATGCCCCCTCTAGACTGCTGCCCCCCACCCCCGTGGGCTTGGAAAAGTGAAGCAGCTGGCTTTCCTCGCTACTCCATCCAGGTCTGGGGGAAAAGCTGTCAGAGGAATAAAACTAAGGGACATCAAGGACTGTGGGTTCCGGGGAAAGTC